GAAGAGTGAAGATGCAGAGTATGTAGAAGTGTGACCTTTATGTTGTCATGTTGTGCCTCAAAGTGACCTTTTCAGGTTTCCCCATTTGGGGATAACTGTTTATATATACTTTTGCCACCTTTTCCTTCAAAATATATGTTTACCTCCATGCAGAAGACGGCCTTTAAGTGGGCTTATTCCAGAGATGCACTCTGAGGCATTATATATCTTTACTGAATTTGCTGCTAGCATCGTTTCCTAGAATCAGAAATGACTAAAACATTTCCAGCTTTGTTAGCCATTAGGGACAGTGTCCAAAGATAACTTCTGAGTGCATGGTTTGCACGTGGCAGTGCATAATGCTGCTGTCATGGCAGGAAGTCATTCAGCTGTCCTTTAGAAAAAAGCACACTTAGATGATGAAGTGTGGTTTTTGAAATTTACTTAAATTGAGTCCTAGAATTGAGTAACATCCATATATTTACTTTAATAGGGACAAGCTGTAGAGAACTTAAAAGCACAGGCACTTTGCTCTTGGACTGCAAAAAAAGAAAACCACTTGAACTTTTCCAAAAATGATATCATCACTGTGTTGGAACAGCAAGAAAACTGGTGGTTTGGAGAGGTGCATGGAGGAAGGGGCTGGTTTCCTAAATCCTATGTCAAGCTCTTACCTGGAAATGAAAGCAAACGAGAGGAGTAAGTGAGACTTAGTAGTTTTTTGTCTTCAGCAGCTATCAGTGTGCCTCTCACACTGTAAAACCAGAGTAATGCTTTTAATTAAGGAGAATAAGTAGCATGATGTGTGCCATACCACCTTGGGCTTTAATTTAATTGCAAGTCAAGTAAGGTACATAACTGGGAAGGAACTCTTGCAACCTGGAGAAAATCGTGTTTGATAATTCAGCAGGTTTATCTTGATTCAGTATTGGACCAATGCTTCAACAAGGTACTAGTGGAGGTACTAGGTCCTAGATGGTACAGTATAACCTCATAAATCCGGAATTCTCAAAAATCCAGCACTTTTTAAGCTTCCCCCTCCACTCCCCTAGATGTGGAGGGGGAAGCTTGCACACAGCGACTGCCACCGCCATCCACCACCCTGTGGCACTGCTCCAGGACCAGCCGCCACTGCTCCCCATGCCCCTGGACACAGAGGGGGAAGCCTGCATGTGGCAGCAGCTGCTGCCATCCACCACCCTGCTCCATGTGTGGCCACTGCTCCAGGACCAGCCGCTGTTATCCACCCTGTTCTCCACAACTGGCTGTCTCTCCAGTTTCCAAAAAATGGAATTCTCACATTTCCGGCAGGTGCTCGGTCCTGCACATGCTGGATTTATAAGGGTATACTGTATATGAAAGTGAGAACTCTTAACCACTCACTATTATGAAGCCTCGTGACATGTATTGCAGAAATAGTTCTTTTCCTGGTTTTCAGAAGCGTTGATGTTAAGGTTAATATTCTAGCTAACAGTTCAGGGAATTACTGAAAATCAGTGCAGTGTGGCTGATATGGAACATTACCTCATTCCATTTTAGAGGTGACTGCAGCTTCGCCTTTGAAGCAGTCCTTGTCAGATACAACGTGTAAAATCCTACAGAAGGAGGGAATGTTAAGTGGGAAGTTGTTTTACGAAATCTTTCCTTTTAGCTTCATCGCTGCATTTCTTGGATTCCAAAATTTGTGACTGCATTTTCCAGAGCCTTTAGCTTAAATTATAAATTTGTCCTGATTGAAGTTATATTTTTAGCTCTTGAGGACATTTGCTTTGGTCCACCTTACATTTTCTTAATTTCAGTTTTGCTTTTGCTAGTAATCAGTGTTACAGCAGCATTTGTGGCATTTTATAGGTATGCCCTATAAAAGTTAAGGGATGCTGTATTAATGTTAGTGACTACTTGAAAAATTGAAATGTTTTTAGGACCACAGTTTTACTAATATGTATCAACAGAGCATGAAGTAGTGCTTGGCTGCAATTATGCTTCTCGCAAACAACCTTAACAGTTTTTATATAATCTTTGTAACTAAATTAAGTCAACCAGCTAAAGTAACTATGAGCTTTTTGCCTGCAGACCAGAAGCAGTTTATGCATCTGTAAAAAAGAAACATAACACGCCATCTTATACACCTGGAGAGGGTAAGAATCCACCTTAAAGTGCCTTGAAGTTATAAGACTCATTTCTGTTTAATAACATGCAGTAGCATGCAAATTGACTTTGGACGTGCATAAAATTCTGTTCACACCTGTGAATGTTTGCTACGGAGTGGTGAGTACAAAGACATAGATGCTACAGTGAAAGTGTGAAGTAAAAACTTAAAATCTGTAACCAATTTTTAGGTTCAGTTGTTTGCAAAAGGTTGTCTTGCACAAAATGTTCATTAGTGACCAGTGCAGACCTCTGAAAACCTAAAAATAGATTCAGTAACCATGCATTAATTTCTCTCTTCCTGTTGCAGTGCTTGTTGCTCGAAATGGAAAAGATATTATCAGTGCTTTTTTCAGTTTGAGTATTGGAAGCCATTTTTAAGTGTGTATACTTAGATAGAGGAAGCATAAGTACAAATGAAGGGGAAAAAGTTTGTAATGAAAAATAATCTTCCAACCTTTCAATCTGGTATATGACTGTTCATTCACTTACCTTTTCAGACCACGTATAAAATGTTTGCAAGTTCCATTTTGTGTGTGTGTGTGTGTGTGTGTGAACTGTTCCACTCTTATTTTTATAAAAAATTGAGCCAACCTAAAATCTTTAACATACAAGAATGCATTTCTCAAACCACTACTTTGTGAACTGTGGATGATTCACAGAGGTTTTACTATTTGTATAATACTATCCTTCTTCCTTTCCACCTGTTAAATCACAGAGAGCAAGCAAAAATGCATTACTCTTCCATGTGAGGAGTTCCTGTGATTGCTGTATTTGTCTCAAGTATGTTTTGTGCATGCAAATGAGAAAGGTGTCTATGTAATTTTATATGGAAGTGGAGAGGATTCCTGTGATTATAGGTCAAGCAAAAAGAATGGCTCACCAAACTCCCAGGTGCAATATGTTCCATACTATGAAAACGTTTGAGAAATCTTGTTATGGGAGATTTCCGCAAAGAATTATCTGACCATTTTTCCTCTCATTACATTCACCAAACTATTGAGTAAATGAATAGATCAAACAGAGAAAATATAATTTGCAGTTTGTTTTCATTTGCTACAGTACACGCATTTCTCCCAGTAGTTAAAGCTGTATATACATTGTTCCCACAGAGTATGTAGCACTGTATTCTTATTCAAGCTCCGAACTTGGTGATTTGACTTTCACTGAAGGTGATGAAATATTAGTGACGCAGAAAGATGGGGAATGGTGGACAGGAAGCATTGATGACAGAACTGGAATCTTTCCCTCAAACTATGTCAGACCAAAGGATCAAGATGTGAGTTTTGTCTTTGTTTTTGTACTGCCATGTGATCTGTTTTTGTGTTCTAGTGATGGGAATGATGAGTTCTTTAGGGAATGGAAGTTGCTTCTGAAGGCCACAGAGCAGCCAGAATAAAGTTCTGGGTCCCAGCCACAGTTCTGCCCAATCTGGCCCCCCATACCCCCAGAGCACAGTGTCTCCTTGCTTCTGTTCCTTCATGCTGCTATTCCAGTAAAGAAAAGCCTGCTTCCCCACTAAGACACTCAGACTGATTTGCAGGAGAAGAAGTGCATATGGTGTGCAAGTAAATATGATATAAACTAAAAACTCTTTGTGTATTTTATCTAGGTATTACGTCCAAATATTAAAATGTTGGCCTTGTGATTGATTTACAAAAGTTACAGTTCTTATCTGCGTAAATACTTAGTTTTGAAAACTATCTAACCATTTTCAAACCATTGTGCTTTGTAATAAGGGAAAATTGTTATCCTTATCAATAAAGAGTATTTGTAGTAAGGTAGAACCCCTTTTAAAAGAAACAAGGGAAAATTGGCAATAAGTTTTACATTTAATACTGCATTTTAAAAGCTGGCTGCACTTTTTATTATAGGGTTCTGGTGCTGCTGGAAAAACTGGGACCGTAAACAGGAAACCTGGTAAGTACATTATAACCTCCAAACTTTTAGGGCCAGGACCCGCAA